GCTCAGGATAGGGCAGGATTCAGAATTATTTTGTATAGGGTCGCTATGAGTCACAGGTGACTTGATGGTACAGGATGACAACAAAGGAATTCTTGTGGCTTCTTATTGTTAAGTTCTGTCTGGTCAAGTATGACCCAAAGCGACCCTATGAATAACAGATCTGAACCCTTTCCTATCTTGTGTCATCCTCACAATTCCTGACATATTAGAGCCCATTGTAGTAGTCACTGTGCCAGTCCACCTGGTGAAGGGTCTTCTGTTCCTTTGCTGATCCTCTACCTTTCCAATGATGACGTCCCTTTCCAAGAAAGAGCCTCTCCTGGCAACATGCCTGAGTACATGAGGCAAAAAGCTTTATTATCTGTGCCTTCAAGGAGCAGTCTGGCTGCACTATTTTCAAGGCCTCTCTGTTCTTTTGGCCATCCATGGGATGTCCAGTGCTCTTCTCTAACACCACAGCTCAAAGGCATCAGTTCTTCTTCTGTCATCCTTATTCATCATCTAGCTCTCGGTTGCATAGCATGTGACTGGAAGATCAAGACCTTAATCTGATGCATGTTAGTCTTCAAAGTGACATCATTGCTCCTCAATAATTTGGAGAGGCCCCTGACTGCAGATTTTCCCAGTACAATATGTCTTCTGATTTCCTGACTGCTGGTACCAAGGTTGTTGATGGCTTAGTGGTAACGAATTCAACTGCCAACTCAAAGGTATGCAGTTTGAATCCACCAGCTTCTCTGAAAGAGAAAGATGGGAAATCTCCTTTCATGTGATTTACTGCCTCTGAAAACCTACTGGAGGGTCAGATATATCTTGGCTCAGATTCCATGGTACACCACCACCACCATCACAACAGGATCTCAACTTTTGTGTTAAACTAAACCACATCCAGCTGCCCCAGGTAAGTCATCAGGCTTAAGAGCATACTTCCTCCTCCCTTGGTCAGCCTGGAAGTAGTAACCTACTTTAACTACATTCTTGCAGAATACAAATTGCCAGACTAGCCCCCTGGCCAATTTTACACTAAGAAAGAGCTCAGAATGCTATCTGAACTTTGGTTAGAAAACTCAAATGGATTCAGGGCCCAGCTACAGCCTTTAGCCTTCTACAAACTAAGTGCTTCAGAATTTAAGCTCTAAGGCTCTGCCAATGAATTATTAAGACGAACTGAAATGACTTCCTGAATGTCAAGCAGGTAAAATGAAAAGCAAATCACTTTCACAGGGAAGAGTGTAGCAAGGTGTTTTGGCTCATTTCGTTGACCACAGAGGACACTTCAGAAGGTACATGTAAGTCCCCACAGAGCCAAACAGATGGCAAACTAAAAACAAAACACTCCAAAACAACAAAACCTCCTACTCATTACTGTCTAGCTGGAACCAATTCACAGTTCAACCTCAGAGGCTGTACATTGCATGTGAGTAGATTGGCCCCATCTATCTCCTGCAGATGCACCTTAGTCCTCAAACTGGTATCATTTATTACTCCTCAATAATTTGAAGAGGTCCCTAATTGCAGACTTTTCCAATGCAATACGTCTCCTGATTTCCTAACTCCTGGTACCAAGGGTGTTAATTGTGGATCCAAGTAAGATGAGGTTGTTGATAGTTTCAATCTTTTCTCTACCTATCACAGTGCTGCCTATAGGTTCAGAGGTAATAATCTGAATCCAGGGTTAAAGTGCATCTGATTCAGGCAATGGTCTTTTCAATCACTTGCTAGGCATCTCAGTGCTGGACAATGAATAAGGATGCTAGAATAAGAACTGATGCCTTTGAGCTGTGGTGTTGGAGAAGAGTATTTAACACGGACAGCCCAAAGAACAAACAAATATGTCCTGGAGAGGATGCAGCCAGGGCATTTTTGGAGGCCAAGATGACAAGGCTTTGCCTCACATACTTCAGGCATATTCCCAGGAGGGGTTATTTCTTGGAGAAGGGGCATGATGTTGAGAAGGATGGAGGGTTAGCAAAGGTGAGGGAAGACTCTTGACCAAGTGGATTCACACAGTGACTGCTGCAATGGGTTCCTGTGTGTCAGGAAGCGTGAGGATGGCACAGGATAGGACAGGGTTCAGATCTGTTGTTCATAGGGTTGCTACGGGTCATACTGGACTTGACGGCACCTGACAATAACAGTATCTCCTGGTGAGCTGCCAGCAAATTAGAATTAACAGAGGAGCCGACACCTTTGGATTAGCAGTGCAACCCACTATGGACTGTATTACTAGGGCTCCCTAGATTGAAAACTACTGAATTACCAAGGTACTTTGGAAAGAAATGAGACTGGAAATGATTGCTCAAATCATGACCTGAGCTGACAATGTAAATGCCACTGCACAGAGGTCAGAGGACTTAGGTGGGAAGATTTGAGCTGAGTGGCTGGAACCAATGAATAATTCACAAACTGGGAATGACTTTCAATAAGCTGTATTTTGAAAACAATTACTCAAACCAAAGAGACATTAAAATGAACCACAGCGCGGACAGGACTTAGAAGGGGCACGCTGACTCTGAAAGCAGACCTGAGAGGGAGCTCCTTTCAGTGTCAGAAGTCTCTAGAACTCAGCCTCGAGTTTCTGTGCATGGACAGGGCTACTTCAAAAAGCCTTTCCTATGACGTCTGAGCTCCTATGGCTCCTACGGTCTTGTTTATTTCAGCCACTCATGTCAACCCCCCAAATTATGTGGATTCTGTGCATTTAGCAGGTATTGTTTTAGCAAAATCCCCCAGTCACAAAGAGTTGTAACTATCTCACAGCTAAACCTCCACCGGGTTTCTGAGGCTGTAAATCACTTGGAAAGAGACTGCCCACCTTTCTCCACAGTGGCTGCTGGTGGATTCCAGTCATGAGAGGTGCTGCCACCTTGGTGTTAGCAGCCCACCTCCGTAAAGCCTCCACCACCAGAGCTCCAGTCTTAGGGAACAAAACCACCCATCCCCTTAAACAAACACATCAATTACTCAACTGCTTGTCCTTTTTATAAACCAAGGTCACAATTTTGCTTGCCCCTTCTGGGCCAGTTGAGAGTTTACGTCCAGACACACCTTCCCCTCCAGCCCCCTCCTGTCCCACTTTATTATTTTTTAAAATTATGATTTTAACAAAAGTTTACAGAGAAATTGGATTTCCATTCATTTATTATTGCACATTTTCTTCCCTCCCTCTTGCCCTCCCCCCCCTCCCCCAGTTTGCTCTTCTCTTTGAAAAAGAATTCTTTCACTGTTGCACAATTTTCCATCCACCTCCAGTCCACTTTGCTATGTACCTCTTGTTCTGGACTGTTGTCATGCAAATAATACCGAATCATATACTCCTTTTAAAAAGTTACAAAGCACTCCTCTCTGACGCTCCCTTCAGTGTCTCACAGGGAATAACAGATTTGTTACCATGGAGATAATCACAGGACTAAATGTCATAAGAATGACATCTTCCTCCCTCTTCAAATCAAAGCTGTTTGCCATAGGCCCAATCACTTCTTTTGCACATTTTCTATGATTTAACCTTACCCGACAACTACTAACCCCATCAACCTCAGAACCTCTACTATCCCTCCATCCAACATGCCAGGTGAAGGCTTGCTTGTCTCCTGTTCTTGGCTGTGTGCTTGCTTCCTGTTCAATTCTTCACTAGCCTTTCTTTCCCGCCACAGGACAAGCCCAGTAACTTTGGGAAATCCCACACCCCATTTCTACATCCCAGACAGAGCTTCCTGAATACTTAGTGGCCTACTGGGTAAGGAGTTGAGCTGCCAGCCCAAAAGCAGGCAGTTTGAATCCACTAGTAGCTCTGTGGAAGAAAGATGGGCAATCTTTTCCCTTGCATTTTACAGCTCTGAAGACCGCCAGGAGGGTCAGCTATGAGTCAGTTCCTATGTAACAGCACACAATAACAAACATACTATCTTCATGGAAGTCATTCCACTTTCTCCTGATGTTGGTGTCTCTACGGTTTTTGAAGCCATGGTTACTGCGAGGTCCTTGGGTATGCTCACTTTTAAATATTGACTGCTGTTATATGCCGTCAAGTTGGAACTGACTCATAGCTAACTTGGCTGCACAGGAGGAGATGGTCCATGTTCTTCCCACAAAGCAGAGTGTAGCTTTAAACCAGGTGCCTTTGGGTTGACAGCACAGCACCTTACCAGTAGCCCACATGTAGTCCTTTAATGGATCTACTGTTGTTAGTCGCTGTCGATCCAATAAACAACAGATCTGAACTCCGTCCTATTCTGTGCCATTCTCATAATCTCTGACCTACCTGAGCCCATTGCTGCAGTCACTGTATCAATCCACCTGGTCGAGACCTCCTCTCTTTCACTGCCCCTCCACCTCACAAGCAAGATGGCCCTCTCTAATGAAAAGACTCTCCTAGCAACATGATCAAAATATGTGAGATAACATTTCATCACCTCTGCCTCCAAGCAGCACCCTGGCTGCACCTTCTCCAAGATGTATGTTTGTTCTTTTGGCAGTCCATGGAACAGTCAGCCCTCTTCTCCAACACCACAACTCAAAGGCATCAATTCTTCTGTCATCCTTCCTCACTGTCCACTTCTCAGCAGCATAGCAAGTGATGGAAAAGACTATGGCCTGGATGAGGCACACTCTCAGGTGTCAAACTCTGTCACTGCTCCTCAGTAACTTGAGACGTTCCTGACTGCAGACTTTCCCAGGGCAGTATGTTTCCTGGTCTCCTGACTGCTGGTACCAAGTGTACTGATTGTGGATCCAAGTTAGACGAAGTCAATGGCAGTCTCAATCTTTTCTCCATCTTTTGTTTTCCTGATGTTGAGATGCACTTTCTGCAGCAAGAGCTTCAAGTCCTCACTTTCAACAATTTCCTCATAGAGTCTAAACTCTTCAAAGGCAAAGCAGGTGAGTATTGCTTCCTACTCTGGAACTTATACTTGGCAGAGAGTCTTACCTGATGGGCATACATCCTGTAAGTTAATGGACACACCCGGAGCCTGGTCTGATAATGACCAGTGACCACTCACCTTTCTGCCCATCCAGCGGCACTTGGCTCAGCACGGTGAGGCCGATGAGGATGTAGTAGAAAAGTCCAAAGCCGTACTGTACGACATGAATCACGGCATTGGAGAAGACACTGACGTAGGTGCACTCGAAGAGCCTCCGCAAGCTGTGCAGCCACAGAAACACTAACACCAGGAAGGATGAAAGGGCGAGCTCACCGCCTGGAATTCAGAACGCGACACAGTCAGCACCTCGGAGGGGCTCACTGGAAGCCATGCATCCTCGCTCCAGTCAGCGTACTACACAAGGTCAGAACTAGGACAACGTCTACACAGCGCCTTATTCACCGTCTTCCATGCTGTTTGCCTGTGGTTGGGTTTGGGGGGGTTTTATCAATGAGGAAGTGGGCTAGGCAAAGCTGAAGAATTTGGCTCAAGGGTAGCTATATATTAGTGGCAGAAGAAGGGCACCCCCAAGTCCCTTGACAACATATCACGTGAGAGTCCTGCTGGGAGGTGGGCACCCCTGGTAGGGTCTGTGCGCTCTAGTTCCTGGAATTAGTAAGCTAAACCTGTTCATGCTGAGTCAACTCTGACTCCTGCAACTCGTACGCTGCAGGGTAGAACTGCTCTCTAGGGTTTCCTTTGCTGTGAGGCATATGACAGTGATAATTTCACAGGGAGTTCAGAGACACGACTTGGGTTGAAACTCTCGAAAGTAGACGGTTTCCAAGCACACCTGAGAGATCCTAAATGCTTTTTCCCTTAATTTTATACTGGTTTGCTTTCAAATTTTGTATACATTGTTTTAACACCAGATCTTTCCCATTTCCTTTATCCACCCCTCTCTCTGTCAATTATATTGTGTGACCCTATGATTCCTCCCCTTCTCCCCACCTATCCTCACCCCTCTGCTCCTATTCTCTCCCCCCTTGGATCTTCATACACATTTTATCTAGTTACCTTTCTATTTCTACAATAATGGTCAGACTTCTTTATAAATTTATCAGCAACACTAAAAATATCGGAGAGAGAATGGTCAGTCCTGGTCACATCACTATATCTACAGAGAAGCCGCCAACCCCACCACTCATTCCTGGCTCTGCAGTCTTCTCAGGGAAGAACTTGGGCACACTCTGGGCCAGCTCTCTGTGAATCATGCAAGATGTTCTGCTCATATCCTCCCCTTGGCAGGCCCAGGTTGAGAGAAGCCAGAGAATAGCTCAGAAACGCCCAGGCCAGCTTCCCTACAGACAGGAACAACAGGCCCAAGATGCAATGCAAGCAACCAACCTTGGCACTTGTTACCTTGGTACTGGGTGGCCCCAAGGATTCTCAGCAAGCCGTGAAGCCAGTCTGGAAAAGGTGCTCCCAGGAACAGAGATTGAGCAAGGCACCAAAGCAGGAAGCCATTCCACATCACCGAGATGATATAGAAGTGTGCAAAGTACCTGCAAGAGGAAAATAATATTGAAGGTGAAAACAACAGAAAACCAAGGGTAATGCTCGCTCTAAAAAAAACCAAACCAAACCAAACAACTCTCATTACCCTCCAGTCAGAGGTGACTCAGCAGACTTTCAGAGAGAGAGTTTTCAGAGACTGCAAATCTCATGGAGATTGCCCATCATTTCCCCTTAGAGCACCTGCTGGATTCGAACCACCAAGAGTGGAACCACCTTTGGGTTAGCAGCACAACTCCTTACCCACTAATCCACCAGAGCACTCTTGCTATCTAGTAGATTTCCACTCATAGCCATCCACAAGTTTCAGAGTTGAACTGCTTATGGGGTTTCTTGGCTGTAATCTCCATGGAAGCAGAATGCCAAGCCATTTGTGGCACCCAAATCACTATGCAGGGGTCATTTTTAGTTTCCATGCCTCTGTTTCTCCCATTTCCAAATTGTATTTTTGCTTTTTTGACAGAACTTGAATTCTTCTGGTTTTTAAAATTTCCTTTCAGATGACAGAGTGAATTAACCTCCAGGAAAGAGACCCTCTCTGAGTAAACAGAGAACAAAGCTGACCTTGTAAAACTTAGACTGAGGGTTAATTAGCATAGCTCATCTCAGGGTAACATGATTGGGCTCAAGTTCCAAAGAAGGGCGATCCCAGGGCCAGGCAGAGAGCATATGCCACAGATGCTGAGAACTCAAGCCCCATGTGTGAGAGAAATTTACAACCCAAGCAGCAATGCAGCAACAGCCACACAACCGTTACACAGGATTTCTTTAATCAAAGGAAAAACTTCAGAGTGTTTTTTTTAATGACTAATAGAAGATTTATTTAAGCAATAATACACAGTCATCTCTGTCACACTTAATATGAGATGTTAAATGGGCGTTCCCATTTTCCTTCCTGGATATGTCTTTCTTTTCTATCTCTTTCATTTTTGAAAACATAGTACCAGAAGAAGAGGGGCCCAAGGCCAAACACAGCTCCTATGAGAGAGAGCTTGGGAGTGGGCCTGAAATTGGGATACACATTTGCTGATTTTGCATATGTCCAACAAGTCAAGGCAGGATCTTCAATGATCATCTTCCGGTTGGGGTCACTGAGGTGAAGCAGATACTCCCGTTTAAGCCGGGATCTAATGGCCAGCCACTCGGTTTGAGCCCGCCGAGTCTCTGGAGAGATGTCGTATTCGGCTGGGTCGAGGGTAGCAGGTAGAGTGGCCAGGCGTGATGGCTTGTACTCGGGGAACGACATCTTGGCGACCGGGAGCGCAATTGCGCCTGCCCAGAGTTTTTCTGATGTAGTGATTTTACTAAACCATGTGGACAGAGGTGCACCTGATTCAAGTCATTGTCTTTTCAATCACTTCCTATGCATCTGAGAACCATACAGTGTATAATGATGACAGAAGAAGAACTGACACCTTTGAGCTGTGGTGTTGGAGAATAGCACTGAACATCCCATGGACGGCCAAGAAAACGTATGTCTTGGAGGGGGTGCAGCCAAAGTGTTCCTTAGAGGCAAGGATGAGGAAATCTTGTCTCACATATTTGGGGTGTGCTGTTAAGAAGGGTCATTCTCTGGAAGTGGACATTATGCTTGGAAAGGTGGATGGTCAGCAAAAGAGAGGAAGACCCTCAACGAGACAGACTGACACACAGTGACTGCAGGACTGGCCTCGAGGATGACACAGGATAGGCCAAGGTTTAGATCCACTATTCATAGAGTTACTACAAGTAATATTTGACTCAATGGCACTTAACAAGAATATCACGGGAGCTCTGGAAGCCATGTAGGTAAGGAGTTGCACTGTCTACCCAAAGGCATGTGGTTTGAGTTCACCAACTGCTCCAAGGACAAAGAGGGCAATCTCCTATGCAACTTACTGCTGGAGGGTCAGCTATGAGTTGGTTCTGACTTGATGGCACAGAACAACAACAGAGTAACTTCTATTATAAGATGATAGTGTCAGATTACTCAATAATATGACCTTGTTATTATGTGTCATTAAGACTCATAGTGACCCTTTGAACAACAGATCTGAACTCTGTCTGAGCATGTCTTGTGCTTATTTAGAAATTTGTAGTAAAAAAAAAATCTGAATTTATTTTCATGACATCAGAGTTTCTGCTTCTAGCTATGGCTGGTATCTGTCTCTCTCACAACCACACAACACTTTGATTCTACAGAATCTCTTTTCAAATTTGCAATCACTCTGATGCCCTAGCAGAGAGGGAGTGCTGGCATCACAAAGGCAGGAGTTTTAAATCCACCAACTTCTCTGAGGGAGAAGGATGGGCAATCTCCTCCCATGTCTTTTACAGCCTCTGAAAACCCACTAGGGGAGTTGGGTTGGCTCAACGAGAGGTAGCCAGTATGTCAGGCCATGCCTGCCTTGTTTACGCATGCTCACCTAACTGAAATAATCTGCTTCTGAAATATCATAGCTATAAAGCTAGGTATTGTCCACAGTGGTAACAGTTCTCATATAACCAAACCTGACACACTGCTATCAGATTCACCCACAGACAGAGCAGAATAATCTTTACTTTTTACACAAGCAGGCTGCCTCATCTTCCTCTCACTGAGGAAGGAGTGGTTGGTGAGTTCGAACTGCCAAGCTTTTGGTTAGCAGTTGAGTTCTGTAAGCACTGTACCCCCACCACTCCTTTCTCATACAACTCGAACTCATGGTTGTTGAGTCAGAACAGAATCATAGCTGATGCTCCACTGCATTTCTGAGACTTCAGATCTGAATGAGGGGCGATTGCCCATCTTCCTTATACAACAGCTCTGGCTATTCTGCAATTAGCAATTTTGCAAATGAAGTAAGAAACAAAACGAAGACAATTCAGTCTCTCACTGTGAATTTAACAATGCTGGAAGATGATGCTCATTTGCTGAAGGAAAATCACTTAGTGTGGCATATAAAGGCTCAGGGTCTCTGGAGCCTCCTTTACCTGCATTTCCTCACCAGGTTCCTGTTTCAAACAACTGTAAACCTCTCTGTCTCTAGAGTTGGCTTGAAGTCATGTGACCTTCTCTGGGGCAATATGTTTAAATGTTCTTTCGCTCATTTATTTACTAGACCCGCAGTCAGAGTAACTCACTTCTATGACTGCAACCATCCTTCCAGGCCCCACTGAACAAGGCTAACTCTAATTCCACCTACTACCTCTTGTTGTTATGTGCTGTTGATTCACTTGCCACTCATAGCAACCTTATGTACGACAGCTCTGAACCCTGCTCCATCCTGTGCCAAACGCACTGTCTCTGACACACTTACCCCTATTACCCTAGTAGTCACTTAGTCAATCCATCTCAAGAATCTTCCTCTCTTGTGCTGTCCCCCTACCCTCCCAAGCATGAGGTCCCTCTTCAAGGACTGATTTCTCCTTGTAACATGTCCAAAGTATGTCAGATGGAGATTCAGAAACCTTGCCTCCAAGGAGCAAACTGGTTTCACCTTCTCAAGGATGAACCTGTTTGTTCTCCTAGCAGTCCATTCAAAACTCTTCTCCAGCACCACAGCTCAAAGGCATCAATTCTCCTTCTGTCATCTTTACTTTTCCAGCTCCCCAGTGCATAGCAAGCAATTGCAAAGTATATGGTCTATATCAGGTGCACCTTAGTCTCCACACTGTCATGACTGCTCTTCAGTACTCTGGAGAAGTCTCTGACAGCAGACTTTCCCAGTGCAATTTGTCTTTTGATTTCCTGGCTGCTGGTACGAAGAATGTTGACTGTGGAGCTAAACAAACTGAAGGTGTTAACAAGCTCATTCTCTTCACCATCTATCACTAGCTCTTAATATTTTGCTTATCTGGTGCTGACTGCTTCCTAACTCAACAGCCATGCATGTAGTCAGCCTCTGCCTCTTGGGCCTGGTCTTGGCTGGTTGCCAAGACTGGATTACATGTGATCTAAGGGGACAAGGGCAGGTAAGCTGGCAGTACGTGCCTCTGCAGGCTCCTGTGGACAGGGGAGTGTCTCAGGACCCATTTCTGGGCTGGTAGCTTAATTATTTCACAAATATTTATTAAGCACTTAAGATGGACTAGGCAATGTTCTCTGAGAGGAGACATGGTAGAGAGCAAACAGAACATGTCCTTGCTTTGGTGACCTTTACCTTCTGGGGAAGAGTCAACAATGAAACCACAGTCACCTGACATCACAGCGACAGTAAAGGGGTAGGGTGAGGGGCAGAGAGGGGGTCTTCCGGATCATTGGTGCAGGGCAGCTATCTGGATAGACTAAATAACCCTTTGTGGATGTGAATGTCCCAGGCAAAGGACAAGAACACCACTGAGGTCCTGCGGAGCTGGGGGGGGCGGGAGGGGGGAGAAGGATGGCAGCATATGCCAGATCTGTCCAAGGGCACTTGTGTGACTGGCAGAAAGAGGAAGTCAGAATTGTGTGGGCAGAAGACACATGGTCTTGTAAGGGAGCTGGCTTTTAAGTGCAGTGGGGCATTGCTTGAACTGAGGCCTCTCTTGTTGTTAGTTGCCACCGTGTTGAGTGGACTCACAGCGACCCTACAGCTCTGAACCCTGTCCTATCCTCATTTCTGACGCACTTAAGCCCAGTGCTGCAGTCACTCTGTCAATCCATCTCGGTGGGGTCCTTCTCTTTTTTGCTGACTCTCCACTTTTCCTAGCATGATTTCCCTCTCCAAGGAATAACCTTTCCTAGCAACATGCTCAAACAATGTGAGACAAAAGCTTCTTCATCTTTGTTTCCAAGGAGCACTGTGGCTACGCATTCTCCAAGACACACATTCGTTGTTTTGGTAATCCAGGGAATATCTGGGATTCTTCTCCAGCATAGAGTCTCCTTTGGTCAGCCTTAGTCACTGTTCAGCTCTCAGATGCAGAGCAAATAAGTGAAAAGACTGTGGCCTGGATTAGGTGTACGTTAGTCTCCAGAATAATGTCATTTCTCTTTAGTACTTTGGAGAGGTCTCTGCCAGTATACTTTTCCAATGTCATTCTTCTCTTC